AGAGAGAGAGAGAGAGAGAGAGAGAGAGAGAGAGAGAGAGACAGAGACAGGGGGGCGGGGCGGACGGACGAACGGACGGGCGGACATACGGACAGAAGGAGAGCCAGAAACAGAGAGAGAGGGGGGAGCAGGGTGGTAAAAAAAGAGATTGAGAGAAGATTACATTACAAAGGAAGCGCAAAAGCCACAGTAGGGTTGCACATCTAAATAACAACTGCCAAACAAGCCAGCGACATCGCTTTAAAATAATCACGCAAAATTCAACAACGACATCGCTGAAAGCCATCACTGCAACATTAACTTCTTTGTCCCTTCCAAGGACATCTAAACATTCTCACGCCATTGCCAGCCCCTGTTCTATAGAAGAAATTCTTTAACTACCATCTCGTTTATTTACGTAGACAAACAGACGAGGACACCACACGAATGTCCACCTCATTAACCGTCTTTCCGTATGTTCGTCCGTCTTGATGTGTCCACTCGTCCATCCATTCATTCATTTATCCAGACACAGTATCTGCAGCCTTGTCTCATTTTTCTCACTAAATCTCAAAGGTCAAAAATAGTGAGGGAGAAGGGAAAGGAGAAATGAGGAGAGAAGAAGGGAAAGGGGAGAGAGAGGGGGAGAGAGAGAGAGAGAGAGAGAGAGAGAGAGAGAGAGAGAGAGGGAGAGAGAGGAAGAGAGGAAGAGAGCGAGAGAGGGAGGAGAGAGAATGAGAAGTGAGACTGAGCAAGGAAGAGAGATAAAATTAGATATGACCAAGGTAATCATACAGCTGCATGCATTATTCGAATAATTCATCAACAATGTTCATGAGATGGGCTGACTTAATCAAAATAAACATTTCAATACACAGCACATGTACATCTCTATACAGCTGGATGATACATGTACATGTATATTATGGAAACAGCAAAACAAGAAAGACAGACTGGAGCAATCTTAGAGGCGTGTCCCAGACATCTCCAAATTGAACGGGTTTTTTTTAAAGGTAAAACAAAAAGTAAAACAAACCCATAATTAAAACAAACAAATGCAGAAACGCTGCACAAAATATGCCCTTTCTGCGTTGATCATAAGATTAGAAACACCAAGCGTAACTCAGATAGATAACGAGAATCTCTTTTCGCAATTTTTTGGTACTCTCAGCGCGTGAGAAGGAACACGAAGAGGCGGTAGATCAGTCTTATCGGGGATATAAAACGTAAACGAACTTATTGAAGAAGACGGGAAAGTGGAATGGGGTCTACAGCTGAGGAGAAGAAATAAAATAGAATTTTATTTTTAAAAACGAGCGTAACGTGGATGGAAGTGTTATTTTTAGATTATCAAGAGAGTGTGATGAGGTCACTCACTCCAGTTTTTCTACACCGACAGAAACAAGAAAGTGTGGTTTTTGTGCTGTTTTGGTTTTGGTTAGAGAGAGAGGGAGAGAGAGAGAGAGAGAGAGAGAGAA